TCTACATACATGGCAGCACCAATTAGCATCCTGGAGTCGTTCCATTTCTTGAGGAAGCCTTTCAAGCGGGCTCGGTCGGTGTCTTTCATGGTTTGGTCTTCAGATAACGTGATCACATGATTGATGTAGGCACCATACCTGTCCACGAGACGTTGCAGTGCTTTGCGCTTGTGGGTGATCCAGCGGGTGCCCTGTGATCTTACTGGTAGGTCTCCGTTACCTGGAAAATCCCAAACCTCCTTGAGGTCTTCGACCAAGTCTGTTAGTTCACGGGACTTTTTTGGGGACTTGGAGTAAAGGGAATAGAGGCGGAGCAACATTTCATCTAAGTCCTTAAAAAGCTGACAACGGAATGCATCCTTACATGCAAGTTCTAGGCGATGAGCGTAACACCAAGTCCAGTATAGCCATGGTAGTTCCTTTTGTAGTTTTCCTCTCATGCCATTTTGCTCTCCAATATTGACTGATGCACCATCCGTACCCCCACCAACTAGAACGGGCTTGCTCTGAACTCCAAGAACATTTGATTTATCCAGAATATTATCTACTCCAACTACTCCCAGAGCATTGCTGAGACAATTTATCAGTCCACCAGCATCTGCTTTTGCTGGCACTTCCAGTGAGAGAAACCTGGTACATGATCTCATCTCTTGGGCAGCATCATCCAGGTTGCAGTACTGTATCATTACGAGCTCCTCCTCTATGTTACCTGCATCTGTGGATCCATCCATAAGAAAACTATAGAAGTTGAAGGTCGAAAGACTTTCAAGGAAGCTCTGCCTCTGACTCTTAGCAATGTAATGGGTGAAGGTTTTGGCTGAGGTATCGTTCTTATAGGCAAAGCCAAGGTCCACACCGTGACGCTCTTCGAGCTCATGTAAAGCAGCATACTTTAGAAATCCTATGTTTTCTTTGGCCAAGACGTAACATATGTCGAATTTCTTCTTCATGCGTTCTTTTACTGTGTCATCTATCACCAAGAGACTGCGAGCAATCGGCGAGTAGCTTGTGACTGATAAATTTGAGGCCTTGGCCGCATCGGCGCGTACCCGTAGCATGGCCACACAATGTTGTTCACTTGTGGCATGGTCGAAGATGTTGCTTGTCTTGTGGTTGCTGGAACCTATTATCCAGGCTTTTGAGAAGTTCTTCATTCCCGTAATTGCAGCCTCATGCTTCCTACACGAATCACACCAAAGCGTCTCTACGACCGACTTGTCTTGTTTGGAAACGTCGCAACATAGCCACGAAAGAGTTTGATAGTCACGCTCAAATTGCGTCTTCCACGAGTTAAATGTATTTATGCTGACTCTTCTCTTCTTGGAGCTAGTAGAGGGAGTATTAGCCGTAGTTCTTTTTCGACTGGACATTACATTGCCATTGCAAGACACCACCGTCGACCGATCACAGCAAAAAACACGTGCACATATTGACATATAAAAATATATGACAGTAACTTTCGGTTTGAGCTTAAGCCAGTTTCGCAAGTTGTTTGTGAATATTTACTTAAATACTCGACATGCTGTAGCAAATTATATATACTAGAAATATCAGGGATATCAGATCGTAAACAAAGTTATTATGTTTATTGATATCAATCTTGTCATTTAGAAATATAATAACATTGTGCTTCAGTGCGTGATTCAAGAGTGACAGCGTGAATGCATGCTAGCCTGTCTGCATGATTTATGATTTGTTTGGCACAAAAATTGCTAAGTGAAAGCTTAGCCTTGAAACAATCGCGTATATTAGTTGTACGAAAATAGAAAAGTCTCCCGGGTAAAAACACTTTTCGAAAAGAAAGAGCGAAATCAATCGTATTTTTCGAATCCAAAATCTGTTGACTGCATAAAATCTCTTGTTTATTGAAGCCGTTATTAATAGACATGAGTAATTGGTTTAATAATTACAGTCAAGATACAAAAAGTGTCCCACTTCCGCTTCTGTAGTCTATTGTAGAATGTTGGGTTTTTCTGTAGCGGTTTCGATTTATCCGCAAATATCATTATAAATTTAGTTTTGTTATTTTTATATGGTAGTTTATAGCAAAGGGTGGATTTTTCGTCAGATTCATTGCAAAAATGGTGCGAATTGAAACTTTTAAGTTTTATCCCGGTATTTGCGGATAAATCGGAAACCGCTACAGAAAAACAAAACAAATTACGGTAATTCACAACAGACTACGGAAGAGGAAGTGTGACACTTCTTGTATTTTGGTGACAAATGACGAGTTGTTACCGTATCTTTTTATGTTATTGTTCATGTCTGGATTGTGTGAAAGATCACATATTTAGTTTTAAATGATTACAAGAATAAGGGGGAAATAATTCAGATATAAATCAGGCAAAACTGGTCGGCCATAATGTCCGTGCAGAACAATCAGTAGACGGCCATGTCAGCATTTTGCTCGGAAAATGGCCGGTGTCCGACCGTTATATTGAACTCTGGATTGACAGGTATGCTATATGGACCAGCAGACTTTGATGGATTTAGTCTAGAGATTTCTTCGATGATTTCAGTAGCTGTCACTGAGAAAATAACAAAGCTATTACACAAGGAATGAGTCATGTATCTCTCAATAGGTGTATTAGCAAAAGGTATTGTAGATTCCAAGTTTGATCCTATAGTTGAAAAATACTTGTTGAAGGCCTCGGCAATAGCTTTCTTATCAACTATTTTTGAAGATCCTACTTGTAATAAGTTGGGACTCGTATTATTAGCATATTTTAAAGTAATCAATTGCTTAATACCTTTCCATACCCTTTTCATGTTATCCTTATTTCTCAAAAAATAGCAACTATAATAAGACTTTTTACTAATATTCAAAAGATGCTTTAGTTTATTTCTATAGAATTTAAACTTAGTTAAATGATATTCATTTCTCGATTTTAAATAGGATTTATAAAGCTTATTTTTCATGGCAATGGAAATTTTTAGACCATTAGTTATCCAGGGTTTAGTCTCATCTCTCGTTTAGATAATCTTTTCAAAGGAACATGACTATCAATAACTTCAGATATTTTCCTGTGAAAAACACTGAATAGATCATTTATATCAGATTCAGCAGGAAAAACCTCTTCCCATCTAATTGACTGAGCGTCGGCTATAAATTCATCTAAGTTAAAATTTGAATAATTCCTTTTATATTGTCGATTCTTTTTATTGCCAGTTTTTAATTTGTCAATAATTAAAAAGTTTGGGAGGTGGTCGGTTATATCATACACCAGGTTTCCGCTAATTGTTTGGTGATCAAGTGAGTTGAAATAAATGTTATCTATTAGCGTAGCAGAGTGATCGGTTATTCTTGTGGGTTTGATTATATATGGCTGGAAACAGTATGTAGCCATAGTATTCACAAATTCGTCTGTGTCGGTATGATTATCAACATTTAGCAAATTCAGGTTGAAATCACCCATTGAACAACACAATTTACCTTCCCTTGAGATTTTATCAATAACATCCATGTAATAGCTAGTAAATGCATCAAGATTGCCGTGAGGGTGACGATAAATTATAGAACAAACTATATTGCGAGAGCTGTTGTGTATCTCCAACCACATGCATTCATAATCAATAGTTGAAGAATTAAGATCATCTCGAGAGTGATATTCAACATCCTCCCTTATATGAGCACACACTCCACCAGCATTGCTTAGTGTAGGCTGAGAAATAAGATGATAGCCAGGAATGGCTAGGTTGATTAGAGGTTCTCTGTTTACATTAATTTTCGTTTCAGATAATCCTATAATGCTAAATTTAAAATCCAGATTAGCCAGTAAAGTGACTAGATTATCGTGATTAGCAGAAATACTGCTTATATTACAATGAAAAACTGAAAATAAGTTTGTAGAACTTTTAGACTGGTTAATGGACTGGCAACTTTTGAATTGTAAAGGGCTATAGTAATCAAAATTTACATCTGTTAGAAGATTAATTTCTCCATCAGTCTGAAAATGATTTGGTATATTTTTTAGTCTTGAGATTAATTCGTATCTGGGTAAGGCCTCCAGGTCATCTATATTGGCATTAAACATTTGGAATCATAAACCTAAGATATAGTAACAGGAAAAATAAATACCCTATAACTGTTAACATCAATATAACGGAAAGACTGACATGAAGACAAAACATATGCATACAATAATATACAAGAGACTACACATAGCCACACTAATGAAGTAAAGCGAATAATTGAAGATAAAGACATCCAAAGGACAAAACATATGCATACAATAATATACAAAAGACTACACATAGCCACATTAATGAAGTAAAGCGAATAATAAGATAAAAACATCCAAAATAAACAAATGAATGGGCAGAAGAATTGCCCCAACCATGTCAAAGAATAGTAGAAACAAAAGCATGACAGATAAATAGGCGACAGGTCAGCATTGGTTATAACAGGTAGACTGTCCCTAATTAGCATGAGATAATAACATGACATAGTTTTGTATACTGTATAAGTCTCTAACAAAATTATAATACTTATAGTATATATCGTACTTATCTTGATGGAATTAGATTTTCCAAATCATGTCGCGTATCTTCGTGAGGTTCAACTGGAAGGCCCGAGATTTCACAACAGTCGCATCGGCCATATTGATTCATAGCATCAACATTTTTAGCGAGATCGTCACCAACCTTAGAAAGCTTCAAAATTTCTGCCTTTAGAAATTTATTTTCTTGCTGTACCAAATTGTATTTCGATTCTAATTCATCAACCCGGTTATTAACTAAGTCATATTTATCGCTCAGAAATTGCATGCTGTATTTAAGATCGTTGACTGTTTGGACTATCGGACTGAGCTTTTCATCAAGCTTTTTCTCCAGAATTTCTTCAAGGATTTCCTTAGTGATTTGAGTCATGATAACATACAGAGATTTTGAAGTTATAAAGATATAAACACGAAAAAAAAATCGTACACAATAAGACAAAAATATTTATATTTCAAGGCGAGCATTAAACACGACCGCCATCTTGTACACACTCACTCAAACTACTGTTTGCTAAGTATCTGTTCAAAGATCTTATTCACACATATCAGTGAGGTAATTGGGCGGTAGTTCATCTTATCCTGCCTATTGCCTTTCTTAAACACTGGTGTCCACTCACCTCTCTTCCATTCAGATGGCCATTCGCCTGAATTAATACATTTATTATACAGCCTAGTCAGAGATGGTGCCATTCCCTTGAGCAGTTTTGGCAGTGCTGTCACATCCCACCCATATGACTTTCTTAAGTTGAGATTTTCAAGTGCACTCTGTACTTCCTCTTTACTAAAGTCATTGAACTCAAACTTATTTCCTCTATGCTTACTTTCAATAATCCTGATGCTGCTGTGATTCCTATGATCATTCTCAGAAAGGTTGATCACATGATTGCCTCCAATATTAGCTGCTACTGTGTTGAAGTGGTCTGCCAGGAGTTCAGCTACCACTTTTTGATCTTTTTCAACCTCTTCATCATCAGATTTTAAGCAGATGACATTGGTATCTTTTGTCTTGCTGCTGATAAATGGTTTGAATGTATTAAAGAATTCACCGGGTTTAGACTTCAGCTCTTCTGATTTTCTTAGCCAATATGACTTTATCGCTTTTCTTCGTTCCCGTGTTGCAATATTCCTGTATTTACGTTTAAGTTCGTAGTTATCAGGAGAACGGTCTTTTGCAAACTGAATGGCAAATTTTCTTTTGTTTCTAATAGCTTGTTTCCACTCTGGAGTCATATAGGGTATATCTCGCTCTCGGACACGTTTCTTCTGAATGGGTGCATGTAAATCGACCATGCTTTTAAGCAAACCTTTCCAATAATCATATTGATTATTTACATTACTAAAAATCTCTCCAACATGCCAAGGAGCGGCCGCCAAGTCCCGGTTAAGTTGTTCAAAATCTGTATGTTTTGTCTGCCGGAAAGTAATGGTATGGGTCTTGTGTTTGTGAACTTTCTCGGTCATTTCTGCAAATACCAGATGGTGGTCACTCATTTCCGGTTGATAAGTTCCACATTTCTTAAATAGACCAGGATTGTTTGTTAAAATAACATCCAAAAGGGATTCAGAATGTTCTGTAACTCGGGTAGCTTCAGTTATACATTGTAGATTGTTGATTTCTTCTAAATCCTTCAGGATTTTCCCCTCAGCATGATCCAATTTTAGTCTGTCCAAATTTAGATCTCCTAAAATGACAACATTCTGCTTTTGAAAGCAAGCCCATTGACAAATATGATTTAGCTCCTCTTCAACTTTTTTCGTATACTGAAAGCGGAAGTTGTTTTCCTTTCTTTTCATCTTTGGAGGTCGATAGATTGATAGTACTAACAAGTCATTACATCCTATTTTAACCTCAACAGCTATAGCCTAAAGAGTGTTGTAGATTTTTGGCAGGGCCCTTTTCTTTGAGGGCAGAGCTGTCGAAAAGTACGCTATCAGTCCACCTCCGCCCTTTTTTCGATCTTTTCTGTACATATTTATCCTGGTAGACTAAATTGGCTGTTGGGATAAGAGCTATCTATTTTTGTTTCGGATATCACCAAGACATGTGCTCTTAAAGAGTTGTTTAGTATTTTAAGTTCCTCGAATTTATTTTGTATGCTATTGATGTTTAGATGAGCAATAAAGGCTCCGCTTGGATTCCTTTTTCTTTCTTCAACTATTAATCCCCCTAAGGATTCTCCTACACAATTGTTTCCAGTTGTATCCAGTTCATTTGCATAAACAGCTTCGCCAACGTTGTTGTTTGTATAGTCACTCTCATTTAAATTCAAAGTCATATTGCATTGTTTTTATTTTTCGTAGATGAAATTATCTGTTTTTGTAGGCAATCTACCAAGCTTTCTTCTTGACTAAATGGTAACCAGCACAAATAAGAAGTCCAGCATTTCTCAGGGCAAGACCCATGCATCTTCAGTTCAGCTTTACCAAAACCTAGACATTTAACATGCGACCAAGTATTACAATGGTCACACAACACCGCTTTCTGATTCAATCTAATATTCTTCTCGCACTCTTTGCATGGTCGTTTCATCGCATTTTCACCTAGAGGTCCAGGATTTCTGTGTACATCGCCACCTAGAATGATTCGGCTAAGCTGTAAAGTCCTTATGTTATTCGCTGTATAGGAAATTCTTGAAGATAGGTACATTCTACCACGTCTAGCTCGAGTTCTCAAGCTTTTCTTCGGGTGTATTGAAGCCAAGTATACTTGTATTCCTTCATCCTTGTATCGACAGTGAACTGGTTGTTGTATACAACGTTTTTATATATCCTTGCTTACTATTAAAGCCAACATAAGCGACAAAATAGAATATTTCAGCAAGCTCAGCGAAGGTCGACCGCCATATTGCCTGTTCATGTATGTATTCGTATGGTTTACTTGTTCGTATTCGTATTGGTTGTATTCGTACCGTACTAGTCTCTGTAAATATTTGTTTAGTTGAACCGCTACATGATTAAAATTCTACGAGTTCAAATCAAAGTACACGTCTGGTTAAGACTGAGTCCAACACATATAATGGCTTGTCGTCAAAAGGGAATCTCAGAATCTTGCATGGCAGCATACCCACCAATGTTAAGATTATAAATAATAACTTTATAGCATATATTAGGATCATGGACTTCCTTATCATGTGCATATGCAAATTTATTCAAATGAACTAGACATAAAACAACCAGAAAAACCTACCATCACCACCATGTTGTTCTATAAAACAAATATGTCTACAGATCTTATATACTTAAAGTCTTTACTTTATTAAAATATTATTATTTATATTAAATCTTTCCAGTTTCCACTTTGCCCATTACCAAACGACCAAAATGAACAACCTTAAAATTATATATTTATTCTTACTAAAAATATAGTGCCGTAAGTCCATATGCAACATAATTTATATGGGATAAACTTTTGGATCAGGAACTGGTCCCTAACCGCTGCTAATCTTCTTCTTGTTGTTGTTAGGGGGCGACGCTCTTTAATAAAACCCTAAGGCTCTATCATTGTTTGATCGGAATGAAACTTGGCACAATTATTCTAAGCAATATTCCGCATCGATTGACGGAGTTCGAATTTTTACTTTCGACCTTTGAAGCAAGTTACAAGCAATTCTTGATATATTTGCAGCAAATAATATATACATATCATTAATATTAGTTGTATCATTAATACTAGTAGTTGCTCAGAAAAAATGTGCCATTCTATTACTGTTGTATTCTGGATGCACAGACAACAACAGAATTTTCGTTTGATGTAGAATTGTACCATACTGTACATCTAAAAATATGTAGTGTAATATTAGTGTATATACCTATATAATTAAAAATAATCGTTGTCACATAGATCCCTCATATTACAGGCTAGTTCATGTTTTTTTAATAAATCATCCAAAAAGTTTTAATATTATTGCTCTTTTCTAAAAATATGACCATAGAGTTCTATTAACTATGATATCAGACGACTTGTTACCACTAGGTCGGCCCAAGTTCAGGCAATCATCTGCAATGCGAGTTTAATGCCTAGCGGGCATCTTGTTGTATGCAAAAAAGGAAATAAGGTAAATTAATACAATAGAAAAGCGTAATTATGCATAATTTAAGTGACTGTGGTGATTGGTTAATAAGCCAAGTTCCTTCGAGAAGAGAAATGGGAGGAGTAGTGAAGTTATTCTACCCCCACCCTACCGGTAAATTTGTGTGGTTTCGTCCAAACCATACCTGCTCTCCCCTTGTGGTCAGTGGATTATGTTACATTATGAAACTTACACCAAGTACATGGATTTTACTTGCAAGCACATCCAAGATGGCGTACAAAAAGGATGTATATCCGTGGCTAAAATGCTGTTTTCAAGCACGGAAAACAACCATGGGTTGTGCATGTCCATTGTAGTTTCTATCCCCTTTAGAAAACAAAGATGGCGGAAAGAATACAGTGGCAGCAGGAGGGAGAGCCAAAACACCATACTTTCGCTAAAAGGAAAAGGAAACATAAGAAATATAAAGGAATGTTACCGCAGCAAAAAGCACAAGGACATATTGCCAGATATTCGCAAAGAAGGAAGATGGGATAATTCATCACCATCAACAAACCTGGTTGACAACATGCAAGTATGGTTGTTATATTTAAATATAACAAGTACCATTGTACTATAGGGACCAGGAACTGCGTAACCGAGTTTAATTTCTGAACTGCATTGTATTTATAACAATGGAGAGGACAATGTATTTCTAATCGTTTCCGTTTACTTATATATAGGCTGAATATTAATGATATGTATATATTATTTGCTGCAAATATATCAAGAATTGGTTGTAACTTGCTTCAAAGGTCAAAAGTAAAAATTCGAACTCCGTCAATCGATGCCGAATATTGCTTAGAATAATTGTGCCAAGTTTCATTCCGATCAAACAAGTAATGCTAGAACCTTAGGGTTTTTTTAAAGAGCGTCGCCCCCTAACAACAACAAGAAGAAGATTAGCAGCGGTTAGGGACCAGTTGCTGGTCCAAAAATTAGTACCAAAAAACAATCCTTCTAACCATAGCCATATTGGCGATATTGCAAGTTCTAAGACCTGCGTGTCGACACGTACGATCACCGACACTTGATACTTGTACCAATATTCCAATTGTTTATTTTTATGAGCCAATATTTTATCATAAATTTATATATTAAACAAGTACGATCATACTATAGGGACCAGGAACTGCGTAACCGAGTTTAATTTCTGAACTGCATTGTATTTATAACAATGGAGAGGACAATGTATTTCTAATCGTTTCCGTTTACTTATATATAGGCTGAATATTAATGATATGTATATATTATTTGCTGCAAATATATCAAGAATTGCTTGTAACTTGCTTCAAAGGTCGAAAGTAAAAATTCGAACTCCGTCAATCGATGCGGAATATTGCTTAGAATAATTGTGCCAAGTTTCATTCCGATCAAACAAGTAATGATAGAGCCTTAGGGTTTTATTAAAGAGCGTCGCCCCCTAACAACAACAAGAAGAAGATTAGCAGCGGTTAGGGACCAGTTCCTGATCCAAAAGTTTATCCCATATAAATTATGTTGCATATGGACTTACGGCACTATATTTTTAGTAAGAATAAATATATAATTTTAAGGTTGTTCATTTTGGTCGTTTGGTAATGGGCAAAGTGGAAACTGGAAAGATTTAATATAAATAATAATATTTTAATAAAGTAAAGACTTTAAGTATATAAGATCTGTAGACATATTTGTTTTATAGAACAACATGGTGGTGATGGTAGGTTTTTCTGGTTGTTTTATGTCTAGTTCATTTGAATAAATTTGCATATGCACATGATAAGGAAGTCCATGATCCTAATATATGCTATAAAGTTATTATTTATAATCTTAACATTGGTGGGTATGCTGCCATGCAAGATTCTGAGATTCCCTTTTGACGACAAGCCATTATATGTGTTAGACTCAGTCTTAACCAGACGTGTACTTTGATTTGAACTCGTAGAATTTTAATCATGTAGCGGTTCAACTAAACAAATATTTACAGAGACTAGTACGGTACGAATACAACCAATACGAATACGAACAAGTAAACCATACGAATACATACATGAACAGGCAATATGGCGGTCGACCTTCGCTTCGTTGTAGTAAGGTACCGGGTATTGATAGTTTGTGTACCAGACTGGACCATATTAAGCACAGTGGAACCAAAATGTTTACTTTGAATGGATAGGAAAACTGTTCATCATGACGTAGTTTCCAAGCAGCACCCATGTTTAACCGTCCGTAAAATTGTACATTTGAAATGGTGAAATGGTGGAATGGTAGAAGATGCTCGGTTTGAATAGTATCTTTCATATTATGTGTTTTCTTTTGATGGGTGCTATATGGTAGTGTATATTTATTAATAACACTATTTTCTCTGTGAGAAGTTCTGCAGCTAGTAAACTTGTTGATTTGATGTTATCTGTAAAGACATGGAAAATGAGATTATAATTAGTATTATATTAAATGACAGTCAATTTATGAAACATGGTAATAGCGGACTCTGCCAGGCCATAAATAATGACATGACATAATGATAACCACACAGCATACTTACCATGTGTTGTCACTTGTCCCATGGGTCAGGCATGTCCATGTATGTGGGATCAGTCCTTTTCAGGACTGACACACATATGCACATGGTGCATTGTTTCTGGTCATGCAAATGTTTAGTTAACTTTATAGCCTGAGCTACTAGGTGAAGAGTATAAATATCAGTCAAATTATGAGTCACCTTATAGTGATGATGGTTGCTAA